GGTGAAGGGTCACAATAGCATGTTGAATGCACCAGGCTCTTCCAGCACACTGCAAACATCAAAATGGGAAGAAAAAAAAAAAAAAGGAGAAGAAGAAGGAAGGGAAAGAGAGGAGAGAATGAAGGAGGGAAATGCTGGGAGCTTTGCACGTGATATCAGAGGAATGCATCCTCACTCATACAGGACCCTGCTTTGTTTTAAGAAAAGAGGTCAATTCAGATCTTTCAAAGGCTTTTGCTCTACGTGTAAATGGAAAAATGGGTCAATGACTAGAGGGAAAACGGTATCAAGAAAGAATCTTTAAAATAGAAGGGGAAAATAATAGTGGGTTTGTAGGCTGATCGGAACAGTCCAGTAGAAAGAGAGAAAGCAATTATGCAGGTGAATGAAAGGAGAGCATCTGGAAGGACGTCCCTGACAGATGAAGGCGCTGGGATCTAGTGCGTAAGTAAAGGAACTGGCCTTACACAGGCGCGCAGACCAGACACCAAATAGTCACAGGAGGGAAAGCAGAGTGTCTGCGTGCAGATGCCGCCATTGAGCAGAGGCAGTGCTGGAAATTTGAAAAGCTATCTTCTGGTTCCTCCAGCTCTCAACAAAATGCGAAGCAAGGTTATCAGCTGAGAGCGAGCACCAGCAAGAAGTACAGGAAATCTGAGAAAAGATGTGTGTAGTTCTCCAAGAGAGAATTTCAATGGACCAGGGAAAAGCTGTGTGATATTGTTTAAAGATCCTAAATTTGTTTTTATTTAAGTACAATCAGTTACAATGTGTCCATTTCTGTGTACAGCACAATATCCCAGTCATGTATATACATACATATATTCGTTTTCATATTCTTTTTCATTAAAGATTATTACAATATACTGAACATCATTCCCTGTGCTCTACAGAAGAAACTTTTTAAATCTATTTTTATGTATAGTGGCTAACAGTTGTAAATCTCAAACTCCCAGATTTATCCCTTCCCTCCCCCTTTCCCCAATAACCATAAGATTGTTTGCTATGTCTGCCAGTCTGTTTCTGTTTTGTAGATGAGTTTATACTGTCCCTTTTTTTTTTTTAGATTCCACATATAAGTGGTATCGTATGATATTTTTCTTTCTCTTTCTGGCTTATTTCACTTAGACAATCTCTAGTTCCATCCATGTTGCTGCAAATGGCATTTTTATGGCTGAGTAGTATTCCATTGTATAAATATTACCACAACTTCTTTATCCAGTCAGAAAGATCCTAAATTTAAACTGAGCCTTGATGGTTGTTCTTCTACAGCCATGTTCAGCTATGAGGATGCAGGTGAGGAGAAGCCAAAGAATTGGATTTCACCCTAGTTATGGTTGTGCCTGTCATATACAATAATTAGAGGGCAAGAGAGTGGAGGGCTTGCCTTCCTAAAGAGCCAGGCGACATTAATATTCTTTCCCATTGAGACTTATGTTTTTAATTGGCTCCATTTATTATTTGTTTATTTACTCTTGGATAAATTGAAAGATTCTGGGGACACTGACGTCACTAAGTTATTCTCTGTGTATAAGCCATCTCCTTTCTGTTCTTTTGGTTTTGATTCATGAAGGAAGTTTTTATTTGTCTTTTCACCTAGGATATTATCTTTAATAAGATGACTGTACCCAAAGCCTCAGACTTTAGACACTGCAGAGAGGAGGAGAAATTTTTAAGGGAGGTTGCAATAACATAGGTGGACAGAACTGTGATGCTATTTTTCATGGTCTAATGGTTTCTAAAACGAATCTAACTCATTGCATATATTATAAAAGACCCATGACTATATCCACAGGAATTTTTCATTAATTCACTTAATGAATTTATATTGCATATCTATTGTGTACGAAACATTGTGCTAGGCAAGCACCGATGTGACTTGGGAAGAGGATAGGATTATAAAAGAGAGATACTTAAAGTCTGAAAGTCTAGGTATTTGCAAATCCAAAGGTATTTGCAGCCTAAAGCAGGGAATTAGTATACTTATGACAAATGTTGTGCAAGGCAGGAGAAAGCAAGCACTACACAGGAGTTCCATGACATTTATTCACCTAACTCACCTCTGTCTACCGCACTGGGCCTGAAACACCCTAGGCATCTGATGGATACGGCGAACCAGTAAATGCAATAAAGATACAAGTGAGTTAGGATGAGCGGCTCAGGGTAACCCAGGCCCCTGCCCTGTGACCACTCAGCTCAAGCCAAACAGCTTGGCAACTGGTATTTGTCCAAGCACATGGCATAGATCAGCCATACTTTAGGGAAAGGCTATTTTCAACATGTATGAGGGCAGGCGTGTTTAATTTGGTGGAAGCCAGCCTATGGATAAAGTCACCACCTGAGAGGACTGAGTAAGGAGAATGAGTGGGTGGCAGAAGGCAGAACCAGGGCTATACTTCACCAGGCATTTCTTACCTTTAGCTTCCTTTAGGTGTGACAATAACTTCCTTGTTGGTTAAGCCAGTTTGAGGTGGATTATCTTAACTCTTCAGCTGAAGGTTTCCTTATAGATTCACAAAACAGTGGTTCCCAAACATGTATGCATATTGGAATCACCTGGAGACCTTCAAAAGGTCCCGATGCCTATACAGATGGCCAACAGGCACATGAAAAAATGCTCAGTCTAGCTAATTATCAGATAAATATACATCAGAACTACAGTGAGGTATCACCTCGCACCAGTCAGAATGGCCATCTTTCTAAAGTCCACAAACGACAAATGCTGGAGAGGTTATGGAGAACAGGGAACCCTCCTACACTGTTGGTGGGAATGTAGTTTGGTGCAGCCACTGTGGAAAACAGTATGGAGATTCCTTTAAAAACTAAAAAAAGTTACCATATGATCCAGCCATCCCACTCCTAGGCATATATTAGAGGAAACTCTAATTCAAATAGCTACATGCACCCCAGTGTTCATAGCAGCACTATTTACAATAGCCAAGACATGGAAGCAACCTAAATGTATCGACAAATAATTGTATAAAAAAGTTGTGAGATACGTGTGTGATGGAATACTACTCAGCCATAAAAAAGGATGAAATAATGCCATTTGCAACAACATGGATGGCCTTAGAGACTACCATACTAAGTGAAGTAAGTCGGATGGAGAAAGACAAATATCACATGATACCACTTATATGTGGAATCTAAAAAAAGGAGACAAATAAACTTCCTTACAAAACAGAAACAGACTCACAGACAGAAAACAAACTTATGGTTACCAAAGGGGGAAGGGGATGGGGAGGGATAAATTATGAGTTTCAGATTAGCAGATAAAAACTACTATATATAAAATAGATAAACAAGGTTCTATGGTATAGCACAGGGAACTAAAATCAATAACTTGTAATAACCAATAATGAAGAAAAATATGTATGTATATGTATAAGTATGACTGAAACACTATGCTCTACACCAGAAACTAACACAGCATTGTAAATCAGCTATACTTCAATTT